TCAATGAGATGGATTGACACAGTGACTGAAATGACAGGCTCAGGTGTAGCAAGGATTGTGAGCTCTGGTGGTGTAGTGCCTAAGGCACTCGACTGCTAACCAGAAGGCTGGTGGTTCAAACCCACCAGCCACTCCTTGGAAGGAAGGTTGGGCAATCTACTTCCGTAGTGATACTGCCTCGGACACTCAAGGAGGGGTCACTATGAGTTGGATCTGACTCAAGGGCAGTGAGTTTGGTTTTTGGTTTTTGTGAGTCTGGCACAGAACCAGGCAGTGTTTCATTCTGTTGTACATAGGGTCCCTATGAGTCGAGCCAACTCGACGGCACCTAACAGCAACAACAACAACAACAAGTGGAGAAATTGAGTGATTTGTGCAAAATTATCCAAGTGGTTAGTGCTCAAGCAGGGGCCGGCATTCAGATCTCCAGAGCAGTACTGCCCTCACTATTGCACCTCTGACTAAGACCAAGACAGGCTGCTGCCATACAACTGATGTGAAAGACTTCTTACCTTTGAGATGCTCTTTATTAGTTACCCTAATAAAGGTACCAAGGGAGCTCTGGTGGCGTAGTGCCTAAGGCATTGGACTGCTAACCAAAGGCTGGCGGTTCACTCTATCCAGGATCTCCTGCACTGATCCCCCTCCAAGTGGTTGACAGTGGTAGCTGGGCACCATCTAACCAGCCGCTCCTCGGAAGGAAGGTTGGGCAATCTACTTCTGTAGTGATACCAGCTCGGAAACCCAAGGATGGGTTGCTATGAGTCAGATCTGACTCAATGGCAGTGAGTTTTTAGTTTAATAAAGGTACCACATTTCACTCAGGAATCAGACTACATTTTATATCTGATTAAGCAAATTCCATATATGATATTAGCTTGATTTAAAACCAGCTAAGAATCCCTGGTGATGCAGTGGTTAAGTGCTTGGCTGCTATCTGAATGGTTGGTTTGAACCCACCAGCTGCTCTGCAGGATAAAGATAAGGCAGTCTGCTTCTGTAAAGATTTACAGCCTTGGAAACCCTATGGTGCAGTTCTTCTCTGTCCAGTATGTTTGCTAGAGTCAAAATTGATTCAATGGCAATGGAAGGGTTTGAGTATTGTGACTTACATTCTTAAGGACAGGTAAAATCACCTTCTGTTTGTGAGAAAAGAACAGTACAAGCAATCTTTTTTTTAAAATTGTGTTTTATTTTATTTTAATTAAATTTTTATTGTGATTTGGGTGAAAGTTTACAGAGCAAATTCATTTTCCATACAGCAGTTCATACACATTTTGTCTCATGACATTGACTGCAATTCCCCATAGTGTAATAGCTCTCTTCCCACATCCTCCCTGTAGTTACCTCTTCCCTGTGTCCTTCCCTCCCATGCACACCCACCCCCCGAGCTGTCTCCCTGTGCAAACACTGCCCTTCTGTTCTCCCATGACTGATTGCTCCAAGGAGTATATCCACCTGACATAAATATTCACCCCATATGGCTGTCTATTGTTTGGCTAGAAGCCACAGAAGTGAGTTCAACTGCAGACCTGAAAGGTAACTAGGGGCCATAGTTTCAGAGGTCTCACCAGGCTCTATCAGACCACTAAACTTGGCCTTTTTTTTTTTTTTATGATTTTGAATTTTGTTCCACATTGTTCTCCCACTCTATCCAGGATCTCCTGCACTGATCCCCCTCCAAGTGGTTGACAGTGGTAGCTGGGCACCATCTAATTCTTCTGGTCTCATGGTCATATTGGCTGAGGATTGGACAGTCTACCAAATCCTTGGACTAAATTGTTTCCATGTGTCTTTGGTTTTCTTCATTCTTCTTTGTTCTGGATGAGAGACCCATCGTTGCATCTAGATGGCCCCTTGCAAACTTTTAAGACCCCAGTCTCTACTCATCAAAGTAGGATGTAGAACAATGTTTTTATTAGTATGTTATGCCAATTGAGCTTGATGTCCCCTGTGACCATGGTCCTGAGCTCACAAGTCCAACTGCCTGCTCCCTCCAGGTAGCTGGTTGTGGAAGAAGCTACCACAACTTGCCCCTTGCCGGCTCTACTATACACCTGGACATTCTTACAACACATACAAATATGCATGTAGAAACATTGTCTGCTAACTTTATACATGGTCATGGGCACACTCCTCCCTTTCTAGACATACCTGATCTTTCAGCCTGTCTACCCATCTATCCACCTGTAGATCAATGCTTGCCATCACTGACAACACAGTACTGTACATGCAAAAGTGTTCATCTTTGTTGTCTGTACCTCCCATGTACCTCTCTCTGTCTCCCTCTTCCTCAATGTCACTGTGTTGAGTACTCATTTTTGGTACATTGCCCTTCCCTTCACCCAAATCAATACTTGTCTCTACCTATCTAGCAGTGTTCCCTCCTCTCCCTTCCCATCCCTGGTAACCAACTGCCAAAGGGGCAGGGAGGCCACATCTTCTGACCTCCTCTAATCCTACAAGAGGAAGACAGAGTCACCATCAGTAGCCCAAGGCCCATTATCGTGAGGCCAGACGTGCTACCTCCCTCCAGCCCTTTCACCAACCCTGACACCAATTGTTCCTCTCGCAGCACCCACCACCTCTCTGATTAGGGGAGCAGCAGGCTACAATTCAAGTTCAGGAACAATGCTCAGCCTCTCTCAGCCCACCATCTCTCAGCCAACAGTCTCTCACAGTCTCTCTCCCAGCAGTGTGTGTCTCTCGGTGTCTCTCTCAGCAATGCATGTCTCTTGCATCTCTTTCCCAGCAGCACGTGTCTCTCAGGAGCACATGTCTCTCAGGAGTGCACGTCTCTGAGCAGCGTGTGTCTCTCAGGAGCGTGTTTCTCTCAGGAGCACGTCCTTCTCAGCCAGCAGCCAGAGAGACTTCTTCTGCCTCTAGGAGGCCTCCTTTTGAGCCTGGCAGAGTGACCAAACTAACCAATCATAACATCAGAATTCTAAGCACCTGAGAGAGAGCAAACTTTCCAGAACATTGCTTTGTGCCACTCCCAACAGAAACACCCCAGGTGGATAACTTTTACAATCAGGAGCTCCTCAGTTGCTCACAGCAAATTCCACCATGAAGTTTACAAAGACTTATGGCTAGAAAAGCCATACCGGGTAATTTAATACACCGCACCAACAAAGAAAATTTCCTTCCATATGTAAACCTTTCCTTGACTTTTTACAATAATGAACTAATACAATATTTGTCCTTCTGTGATTGAATTATTTCACTAAGCATAATGTCCTCCAAATTCATCCACATTATGCCATGTTTCAAGCAATCTCATAAAATGTACATTTATAGTGTCCTAAAATCATCAAGTGCAAAATTAGGATAAGAAGGCTCAAGTTGTAGGAGAGGAACTTTTCTGCATGAAACTGATTTTTACATTAAACTAGCTTACTGTCTTTTAGATGTGGTCTGGGTACTTCCTTTCCCCATCAAAGAAATCAGAGATAAGGACACTGTTGCCTCAGAAGTAGTTCTATTAAGGAAAAGAATTTCCCTTCTTTCCTTTGGTTTCTATTAAAGAAATAAGTTTTGGTGTTTTTTTTTTTTTTTTTTTTTTTGAGACATTTTTATTTTCTAGGTAATGTGTTTTTAAGGAGCTTGGTTACACAGTGGTTAATAAAGCACTTTGCATCAGAAAAGTTCTCCACTGTCCCAGGATCACAATGGCCTTGTAGAGCCCTTTCAACAGCCAGACTAGAAAGTTTGGCACGTGGGGTTCCCTGGGTCCTTGCTACCCAAAGTATGATATGGGACTAGCAGCATCAGCATCACCTGGAAGGTTGTTAGAAATGCCTGTTAGCTCAGGCATCAATCAGCATCTGCCTTTTGACAACTCCTCAAATGATTCACGTGCACTGCCCTGGATGCTTTTGTGTGAACACTTACTGCTTCTCTCTGGTTTAGAAGTAAGGCTGAGACCACTGACTCCCATCCAAAGTAAAACCTCTAGGCTGAAAACAAGAAGGCTTTGATTGTTTAAGGGGCATAGCTTCATTAATTTTGTCTGATAATTATTAAGCCATAGAAATTTGGACTGAAGACACCTTACAGGTCATCTAGAGGTCATCTATACTATTGTGAATTTCAGTATAATGATGAATTTTCATAAAAAGATTAAATTATGTTCAGTATATTTCATTCTGGAATGTAAAAGCAAAACAGAAAAAAAAGCATTTGATATATCTTAGAAAGGCAGACATAAGAATGGGAGAAATTTATGTATTAAAAATAACCTTGGGTGATTAAAGGAAAAACTAGCTTCAGTTATCTGGAAAGTTTATTGGTATGAAATGTCTCAGCCATGGTGGTGCCCCCCAAAAAGATGTTTCTCTCTTAAACTCATATTCCAACACCATATGAGTATCATATATCTGCCAAAAGTTACTGTCTTACACAATTGGAATTTTAGTTTAACTTCCTACAAATTCAAGAAATTGCTCTTATCTATCAAACTAAAATTCCCATAAATAAGGTTCCTCTTACAGAAGAATTCCAAATAATAAATGTAAACAACCTCTCTGCTTCCAGGCTGGTGTTAGTGACTCACTCTGAAGAATAGAGATGGAAAGGGAAAAATACTAACTTTAAGTGGATAAACCTGGCAAACACTACCTTAATCAAATCATGAAGGTTAAGATCACCAATTTGTCATGTAGATCTCATATACCCCCTGATATAGTTGATGTGAAGTACACTTCACCTCTGTGGTATTCTTCCCAAAAACCTATAGCTCCAGTCTAATCATGAGAAAACCCTAAGACAAACCCCATTTGAGGGACATTCTACAAAACACTTGCCTAGTACTCCTCAAAACTGTCAAGGTCATGGCAAAATGTTTCTGCATACATATTTGTATGTGCTGTAAGAATGCCCATATAACTAGGGCTAACGGGACAAAGTTATGATAACTTCTTGGGCACAATCACCCTGATGGAGCAAGTTGTTGGACCAGTAGCATGGAAACAATTAGTCCAGGGGACTATTGACCAAGAGACCAGAAGAACCATTGCCAACCACTCGGAAAGGGAATCAGTACAGGAGATCCTGGATAGAGTGGGAGAACAATGTGGAACAAAAAAGATCAGGTTTACTGGTCTGATAGAGCCTGGTGAGACCCCTGAGACTATGGCCCCTATTTACCCTTCATGTCTGGAACTGAATTCACTCCTGTGGCTTCCAGCCAAACAATAGACAGGCATACAGGGTGAACATTCACATCAGATAGACACACTCCTTAGAACCATCAATCATGAGAGAAAAGAAGGTCACTATTTGCACAGGGAAATAGATAGCACAGGGGGCAGGAATGCATAGGAAAGAAGGACACAGGGAAGAGGTAACTATAGGGAGGAAGTGGGAAGAGAGCTGTTAAATTGTGGGGAATTGCAGTTAATAGGAAAGAAAAAATTGTCAAGGTCATGAAAAACTAAGAAAACATTACAGACCAGAGAAACGATGATGACTAAATGCGATGTGGTATCCTGAATTGGATCTTGGAACAGAAACTGGATATTAGTGAGAAAATTGGTAAGATTTGAATAAAGCTGGAGTTTAGTTAATAGTAATGTACTAGTAACTTGTTGTTGTTGCTGCTAGGTGCTGTTGAGTCAGTTTCGACTCACAGGGACTCTATGTGCAACAGAATGAAACGCTGCCTAGCCCTGCACCATCCTCACAATCGTTGCTATGCTTGAGCTTGGCTAACATTGTGGAAAAATGGGAGTTGGCATAGTATCTAAGGCATTTGACTGCTAACCAGAAGGCTGGCAGTGCAAACCCAGCAGCCACTCCTCGGAAGGAAAGTTGGGCAATCTGCTTCCGTAGTGATACCTATTCAGAAAGGAGGGGTCACTATGAGTTGGATCTGACTCAACGGAAGTGGGTTTGGTTTTTTTGAAAAACAATTGTGCTTATGAGGAACCTGTACATAGACCAAGAGGTAGTCCACCAGACAGAACAAAGGTTCCTCATAAGCACAATTAAGTGTTTAGAATTCTCATTTTTCACAATGTTATCCATAATTTGTTATGATTCATGAAAGCCTCTGCATAGGCAATAAAACAAAAGTAAATATCTTTCTGGTATTCTTTGCTTTCAGCCAAGATCCATCTGATATCAGCAATAATATCCCTTGTGCCATGTCCTCTTCTGAGTCTGGCTTGAATTTCTAGCTGTTCCCTATCAATGTACTGCTGCAATTATTTTTTATTGTCTTTAGCAAAATTCTATTTGGGTGTGAAATCAATGATATGGTTCAATAACTTGCACATTTTTTTTGGATCACCTTTCTTTGAAATGGGCACAAATGTGAATCTCTTTCAGTTGGTTGGCCAGATAGTTATCTGCCAAATTTCTTGGCTAAATGAGTGAGCGCCTCCAGTGCTGCATTAATTTACTAAAACATCTCAATGGCTATTCCGTCAATTCCTGGAGCCTTGTTTTTCACCAATGCCTTCAATGCAGCTTGGATACCATTGGTAATTTATCATATACTACCTCATGAAATGGCTCAACATCAACCAATTCATTTTTGTATAGTGAGTCTGTGTATTCCTTCCATCTTCTTTTGCTGCTTCCTGCATTTTTCAATATTTTGCCCAGAGAATCCTCCAATATTGCAACTCAAAGCTTGAATTGTTTTTTCAGTTCCTCTAGCTTGATAATGCCAAATACATTCTTCCTCTTTGATTTTCCAACTCCAGGTCTTTGCAGATTTCTTTATGATACTTTGTCTTCTCAAGCTGCCCTTTGAAAGCTGCTGTTCAGTTCTTTTATTTCATCATTTCTTCCATTCACTTCAGCTACTCTCCATTCAAGAACAAGTTTCAGAATCCCTTCTGACATCCATTTTAGTCTTCTCTTCCTTTCCTGTTTTTTTAATAACCTTTTACTTCCTTCATGTATGATGTCCTTGATGTCATCCTATTACTCGTCTGCTCTTCAGTTACCGGTGTTCAATGCATCAACTCTGTTTTTCAGATGGTCTCTAAATTCAGGTGGAACATACTCAAGGTCATATTTTGGCTCTTAGGGACCTGTTTTAATTTTCTCCTGCTTCAATTTAAACTTGCACATGAGCAATTGATGGTCTGATCCACAGTTGGCCCCTGGCCTTGTTCTGACTGATGATATTGAGTTTCTCTATCACCTCTTTCCACAGATGTAGTTGATTTGATTCCTGTGTATTCCATCTGGTGAGGTCTATGTGTATAGCTGCTGTTTATGTTGTTTAAAAAGGTATTTGCAATGAATAAGTTATTGGTCATCCAAGAGTCTATCATGTGATCTCTGCTGTCATTTTTATCACCAATGCCATATTTTCCAACTACTGATGCTTCTTCATTGTTTTCAACTAGTAACTGTTGTTGTTGTTATTGTGTGCTGCCCAGTCGTGTCTGACTCATAGCGACCCCTCCTTGGGTTTCCGAGGCAGTATCTCTATGGAAGTAGATTGCCCAACCTTCCTTCCAAGGGGTGGCTGGTGGATTTGAACCACCAACCTTCTGGTTAGCCGTCAAGTGCCTTAGGCATTATGCCACTAGAGCTCTCAACTAGTAACTAGTTTAGTTAATAGTAATATAAGACGATAATGTCAGGAAAACCTGTAACTGGGTGATGGTTATATAGAAACTTTGTATCATTGTTGTAACTTTTCTATAAATCCAATAATTTCCATGGAAAATAAAAATACAATTTATCACAAACTCATGATAATATATTTTTTAAAGTGTTGCATTAAGAATTCTCTTGATAGATAGACTTCCATAAGTTTAGAAGGCAGACTTGTGCCAAATGACTACCTATCAATATCCTCACTTAAAAAATTTTTGAGGCCTGTAGCAGCATTTTGCTAAACCTTGAAACTAAATGTTTACAGATTTGAATTTCCAGAGTGGAAAATCAAAGTTCATTTTCCTAAAGTTCATTTAACTCTTGGAAAGAGAATTAAGCTGAGGACTTGCCTCAGCAATGATAACTTAGATAAATTTGGATGGGCCATTTGAACTTTATAGGCCATGCTTATCCCATCTACAAAATAAGGTTCCTTCTACTTCTAAAATTCTATAAATATATGCCTCACAAATGCTTTTTCAAAGTGTGCTATTAATTCTAAGGGAAAAATCGACGTTTTGATTAGGCAGTTAATCCTGCAAATATTTATTAAGCGGCAATCGTTATGCTAGGTACAGAAGCTCTAACCCTTGCCCTCCAGAACCCCTCAGTCTGGTGAAAAAACACAGATCTGTAAACAAGCTGTTACAGCCATGTGATAAATGTTGTAAAACAGGTATTAACGGGGTACTGTGGTGCACAAGGAGACATTGCCTTATTCTGCCTGAGGAGACTAGTAAAGGCTTTGGGCATGAAGAAATCAGATTACAATGGAATATTAATATTTGATCTAACCAAATTCAGTGAGGAATCTCATAGTCCTAAAAATTTATTTTAATTGGCTGTGTATGAAAATTTAGAGGTGATTGGATTTTCCCAGAGATAAATTAGTGCTAAATCAGGAATCTGGCTGCCACAGAACTGGGCCAGAAAAGCACAAGTGTCTCATGTTGCAGATGCACTCTCTTGGGAATGTTGATATGCATGAAATCTGTCCCCTGAAGTGCCTTAATTGCTATCACATGAACAACATAACTTTCTAGAAAAGGCAACGTGTTGGCTCTCATATTCTGGCATTTCTAAATCAGGTCTTCATAAAAAATCTGTGCCTCTCAGATCATTCCATCTTCCAGCTGAACATTTCTGGCTCAGTCCTTGCAATCTTCAGTCTTGGCATATATAAATTTGCTTTCAAATTCTGAATAGCTTAGTTAAAACAGAAATTTAGGGTCCCCAAGCAAAAGTTCAAATTTGGCTCCTACTTTGACCCTAAGCTTGCAAACTCTGAATAATTCATTTGGGCAGAACTTTCTTTTAGTAAGTGGGAAGATGACTGTGAGGAAAGTTACGCCACGTAAATGATTTTGGGTGGAGGGATGAGTGCTCTCTCTGGGAAGTTGTCCAAAACAAGTAGAAATACCAGAGGGGGTTGTAGGAAACAGGGGAATGTTACTTCTTCATTTCCTAGAGCCCAACTAGAGCAGTTCTGGAAAATTCCTCACCACAAGTGAGAGAGACAGCACAGACCTGAGAAAGTGGGCAAAGTGCACTACAGAAAGACAGACAGAAGTGCCTTCCCACACTAATCTCTCAAGCCAGATCACCACATGTGTGGACTTGAAAGGAGCCAGGTGGCTGTGGGAGGTTTTCTCCCACAGCAGTGTCTACAATTTTCTTGGGGCAGAGTTGCAAAGGGAAACATACGTAACAACAAGTGAGTTCTTTTTAAGCACACACAGCACTCTTTGCTTCTTAAAGAAACATTTACTTTCTTTTTTTTCCTGATTATAACTGAGTTCTGATTATTCATAGAAGAAAGTGCACAAACTGCAGAAAAGTAGAAGGAAGAACAGATCACCCCATTATATCTCTATCCAAAAATAGTCAACATTAAAATTTCAGTGCATTTCTGTTCGGGATTTTACACACATGTATGTATTCAGTATGGGTGAGAGAACACTGGATATGCAATTTCACATTCTGTTGTATCTTAATATCATGACATTCAGAATTGTCTTAAACAAACCAAACTCACTCCCGTTGAGTTGGTTCCAACTTATAGTGACCTTGGGTTTCTGAGGCGGTATCTCTACGGAAATAGATTGCCCAGTCTTTGTTCCAAAGAGTAGCTGGTGGGTATGAACCACCAGCCTTCTGGTCAGCAGTCAAATGCCTTAGGCCCTATGCCACCAAACCTCCTAAGAATTGCCTTAGGCTATTAAAACTCTTTGTAAACATTCTTCTTAGTGGCTACATGACATTTCACTCTGATGAAATTTATTTATTCATTTATTTAAGAAATCCTTGTTTAAAAAATTATTCATTTAAATGTGTAGTATTCTGAACCATTCTCCAGTTGTTTTTCACTCCATCTAGTATATCTGTGTT